ACAAGAAGGTATTTTTAAAAGGATATGTGTTCGGAACAGAAAAGAAGAAGAATAATTTGAAAAAAAAAATTTTATTTTTTTGCTTTTATTGTATATACAAAATCCTATATATAGATTTATACAATAAAATATTTTTAAGTACAAAACTATATAATAGAATATTTTTAGGTATAAAACAAATTAGTTTAAATGTATATAATTAATTACAATGTGCATATAATATTTTAAAATAAATACTATTATTCTAACATCCATCGCAAACTCAAGATGGTGGTGAAGAAATCAACTTAAGTTTAGAAAGAAGAGGTTGGAAGCGACTAGGAAAGTGAGTCTTGGTGAACAAATCTGCAGGTTGATTAGCAAAACTAATGAAAATCAAACAAACAGTTCCCTTTACAACATGATGACGGATAAAATGACAATCAATCTCGATATGCTTCGTGCATTCATGGAAGATATCATTGTGAGCAATCTGTCTAACACTTTGATTATCATAATATAAATTAGTAAAAGAAGGCTGAAGAATGATTATATCTTCAAGAAGTCACCATAATGAAAAAAGTTCTAATGTGATATCACTAACAGGTCTGTATTCAGCTTCAATACTGAAGCGAGATGAAATAGTTTGTTTCTTGCTCCGCCAAGAGATAAGAGAATTACCAAGGAAAAGATAATAACCAGTGGTACATTTGTGATCAGAAAAATCACCAGTTCAATTAGCATCTGAGTAAGCATGAATCACAAGGGGGGAGTTAGTAGAAAAATGGAGTCTATGAAACAATGTTCCGTTAACATAACGAATAATGCGAAGCATTACTACATAATGAGTGGAGTGAGGAGCAGCCATAAATTGATTAACAATGTGAACTGCATATGTTATATCAGAGTGTGTCGTGGTAAGATAAATCAAACTATCAACCAATTGTAGATAGCGACTAGGATAAAAAAGTGGAGAGCCATGGTGTAAGCTTGACATTAGGTTCAAGATGTGTAGAAACACTCTTACTATCATTGAGTTCAACTTTAGAAACAAGATCACAGGCATACTTCACTAGAGAAAGTAGATAGCCATCATTTGAAAAGATGACTTCAAGGCCCAGAAAATAGCTTAGAACACCAAGATCTTTCATCTCAAATTTCTGACTCAAAGATTGTTTTGGCTCATCCACACCTGTGATATCATCTCCAATAGTAATCACATCATCAACATAAAGAAGTAAAAGAACCATACCCTTAGAAGTCTTACAAATGAACAAAGCTATATCATGTGGATTGGAAGTAAAACCAAACTCACTCACAATAGCACTAAACTTTGCATACTAGACTCAAGGAGATTGCTTCAACTTGTATAATGCACATTGCAATTGGCATAACTTGTTTGGAGGATGATTGAGCCCAAGAGGTGGTTTCACATAAACTTCTTCTCCTAGGTCACCATTAAGAAAAGCATTTGTCACATCCATTTGAAACAATTTCCATCTCCATATAGCAACGATAACAAGCAAACTACGAACATATGTCAAACAAGCAACTGGAGCAAATGTTTCCTTATAGTTTATTCCATACTCCTATGTAAAACCCTTTGTAACTAAGTGTGTCTTATAGCACTCCACAGAACCATTAGATTGTGTTTTGATCTTGTACACCCATTTATAGCCTATTAGAAACTTTTCAATAGGGAGATCAACTAAATCCCATGTACGAATGTTTTCAAGAGCTTGTAATTCATCTTGCTTAGCTTGTTGCCAAAGAGGGTTAGAAGAGGCCTTTTGATAAGATTGAGGCTCATGTAAAGAAGTAATAGCTGGAAAATAATGATAACCACGAAGGTAGCTTGGAGGGTTTCTTACCTAAGTAAGATGACTCAAAGATGGGATAACAAGCTCACTTGCAGACTCAACAATATTAGATGCAACATCAACAGGTGATATAGATGAGAAAGTAGAGGAAGGCTCAAAATTAGCTAAATGCATTACCAACAGGTAGATCATTTTCTGTAAAACTAGTTAGAGCATGTGGTGAGGCCTTATGAGCACATCAGATGTACCTACATCAAAATCACTAAGAAATAGCACAATAAAAGGATTAGTAAAAAATGGAGGTTGATGAAAAGATGACACTTTGAAGTTTGACAATGATGAGAACATAGTGTGTTCCCAAAAGACAACATGACGTGAAACTCGAAGTTTTTGTGACATAAGATCCCAACAGTGATATCCTTTTTTTGTAATCTCATAACCCAAAAAACAACATAAACGAGCTCTAGGTCTAACTTGTTATATTCATGAGGTGGAAGGAGAGCAAAACATGCACAACTAAAAACCTTAAGAAGATCATAGGCTAGAAGAATACCATGTAAACGCTTGTATGGAAACTAGTTATTAGGAATTGATGATGGAATGCGATTAATGAGATAAACAGCCATAAGAGCAACTTCACCCTAAAATCGCTTTGGACAAGAAGACAAAATGAGTAGAGCACAAACATAATCAAGGATGTGTTTGTGTTTGCGTTTGACTTGCCCATTTTGTTCAAAAGCTTAAGGACAAGATTGTTGCGTCAGTGTACCTATTCTTTGAAAAAGGATTGAAGTTTAGTACCAAGATATTTAGTAGTATTGTCAGTTATCAAAACTTTGATAATTTTAAAAAACTGTGTTTGGACCCTGGTAGCAAAGTCAATATAAAGTTGTTATAATTCAAAGTGATTTTTTATAAGATATATTCAAGTAAAATGAGTATAATCATCAATAAATAACACAAACTAGCTGATACCCCTCATGATGGGTGTAGGAGATAGACCCTAAACATCAAAATGCATGAGATCAAAAGGAGCAACAGAAAAAGAATAACTATTCGAAAATGATAAAGCTGGTTGCTTTGTAAATTGACATGACACACGATGCAAGGATTCATTGGGAACAAATTATAATAAACCACAAGAGATAAGTGGACGAAGTTGGCCGTCTGAAGTATGTCTAAGCTGTGAGTGCGATAAATTGAGAGGAGAAATGTTAGTAGCAACACATGCTTGAAAATTTTGTTGGTATGGAATTTGTAAAGACTCTAACTCAACAATACAAAGCAAGGTTTGGATGCAGTGATCATTTGGAAATGATGGTGTATCCATTTTATGATATGGAATAGGCTAATAATTGAGCTCAAACATACGCCCCACCTTGCGACCAATTCTAAGAATTTGTCTTGTCTTTGGGTTCTGCACATGACAACCATGAGCAAAAAATGTTACTTTAAGGCTAAGATCACATAATTGGCCAACAAATAGAAGATTATAACTAAGATTTGGAACCAAAAAAGGATTTGGTAAAG